CTCATATCCTTAGGCCCTCAGATGTTTTGTATTGTGTTTTTGATACTTTCTTTTCCTGAGTTTTCTTTTTTAGCAGTACAAACAAATACAAAACAAATTGGCAGATGAATGCGAAAACAGACTTAATCTGTTAGGTCAGGGGTCCCCAGTCCCCAGGTTGTGGATCTGTACTGGTCTGTGGCGTTAGGAACCAGGCTGCACAGCAGGACGTAAGCAGTGGGCGGGCAAGCATTACCACCTGAGCTCTGCCTCCTGTCACATCAGCAGGCATTAGATTCAGAACCCTATTGTGAACTGTGCATGGAAGGGATCTAGGTTGTGCACTCCTTAAGAGAATCTAATGCCTGATGATCTGAGGTAGAACAGTTTCATCTCAGAACCAGTCCCCACCCCATCCATGGAAAAATTGTCTTCCCTGAAGCCAGTCCCTGGTGCCAAAAGTGTCGGGGACTGCTGTGTTGACTTATCAAATATCATTGGCTAAGCAAGTTTTCTCTTCTCCCCTTCAGCATTTGGGTCATCCTATCTGTGAAAGTACTCAATGAAATCACTCAGTTGTATAAAATTAATATTTTTGAGTATGCTTATGCTAGAGGTTAGCAACTCAGGATCTGGAGTCAGATTGCCTGAGTTTAAAAGCTGCCTCTTCCACTTACCAGTTTTATGACTTTGGACAAGTTCTTTAACCTCTGTTGTGTCACCTGTAAAATGAAGTTAATAATAGTTCTTACCATTAATTCTCCTTGTTGTGAATATTAAATGATTTAATAATGTAGAGCTTAGAACATTGGCTGGCAAGTATGCTGGTACTTACCCAGCTATGCATAAACTACTGACAAGGCACTTGGTTAGGTATTGGGAATACCAAGCTGAAGAGGGTTCTTATAGAAAGAAGATAGAAAATTGATCTTGAGCTAAACATTTGTCAGAAAATATAGATTAATATTTTAGTGGGAATTGAAACCAAATAAATTTGGCAAAAACCTTGATATAAACCACTACCTTTGATTCATTTAAGGAAGGTGGATTTGGCTATTACCTGTATTAATGGGAAGAGCAGTGGTGCCAATAATCACAAACAGAAGATGATCTGAAATTAATTTCCATTTGGCTTTGAAAAGCCTGACATTATTATTCAGGGGCCATTTGTCTTAGTACGTCTTACTGAAGTCAATATTAAAATGATTTTTCATTTTATGAAGACAACAGTCTATGGTAGAAGGAAACAGCACACATCTTGCCAAAAGAAAGCCAATTTGGATCATTAATCAGTTGCAGAGAATTCACAAGTTATATAAATACAGAGAAAAACAACCATTAGTAGAATCTCTCAAGTGAAACAGTAATTCAATATGAGTATAAAATCATTTCAACTGAGAAAGAGGGGTTAAAATCTAAGAATTTACTATACCATTTTATTAAACTAAATTCTTAATGTGAATGACCTTAAAATTTATCTTTGTTTCACACAGGTTAGATTCCAATCTTTGCACTGTTATAATCTATGCTCTTAGGAGGTAGTTGAAATGAAGATAAAATAATATTGCAACAGTTTGTTTTTAAACACCATCTAAACTCTGCTACGAAATACAGAAAAAGGTACTGTTTCATATTGAAATAGAAGCTTTCTAGTATTAGGATGAAAGATCAATGACACAACTATAGAATTAAAAAATTGTAAGTTATGATTTGTCATTTTTGTAACCTTCATTTTAGGTGAAAAATATTTTTGGATATATAAAATACAATGTTGATATAATTGTGATTTCCACTTAGAAGATTTGTGAGTCTTTATTTATCCCAGCTATTTTATTTCTTTTTTCTTAGGCTTTTGTTGAAAACTGGCTGTTAAATAATAGTGAAACATTATATGAATTTCCTGTTGTAAATGTTTTCCACTTTTACCAAATAAAAATTTGAAGGGGCCATGGAGAACCTGCCTAATAGATTTTTCTAATGGATTTTTTCCTATTCATTTTGACTAAATTAATTCATAGAACTATCTTTAGTAACAGTAAACTCTAAATATAGATAATAAATCCATTTAAAAATATTTCTTGGTGATACTAAATGATAGACTGCAGGGAAAAAAGAGTAATGAGACATGCAGTGATGCCCAATCCAATCAAGCATCTGTTTGTGATAGTGCAGGAATGCAATGATGTGGGAGTTGAAATACATTTTATCACTAAAGGCATCAAAATTCAACATGAGATTTCTGAAACTTTTGAGGGAAATCTTGTCAAATGCGCGCCTGCTAACACAATACTTTCACCCTTAGAATAAGCTATTGTGTTTCATACATTTAAACATTCCATTTTTTTTTTTCTGCCAGAAGCGTGGAATTCTGAACTCCAGCAGACAATGCACAGAAACCCAAAGATCAATGTGTTTCTAAAGGATTATATTACTGCCAATGCTTCCCAGACTGTTTATTTATTGTGAGAAACTTAACTCCTTCAAGCTTTTCAGTAATTCACCCCTTTTGTCCATGTCAAGATGAAGTGGTCTCTTGTTTCTAACAATGGACTATTTGATGGTCACATCATCAAAGCCACTGGAAGTGCACAAAGCAAGGAGGCATGTCACACTGTGCAAATGGCCTTCAGCTTGACTGCCATGGCACCGCCACCATGTGTCACATAAGCGGCAAAGCCAGTGCCACAGAGGACACAGAGCCGTCAGGACAGACCATCACCTAGGATGCAAGAATTCCTTAAAATACAGAGTCCATGACCACACTCATGGGAAATATTTACAATAATTATTCATAGCAGCAAAGAATGAACAGAATTTTCAACCCAGCCTGAAAGATGATTCGAAATGAAAGGAGAGAATGGGAAAAAATCATCAAGACTGTTTTAAAGAACGATTCTTCCCCACAAAGAGAAGGCATATTTTATTTAGTAACAATTTCTCTTGGATTTTGCTTGCATTTGCTTCCTTTGTTCATGAGCATCTAGCAGTTTTAGCACCACTGAATCCCATGTTTCAAGTTGGTAAATGAGGCCTGTTTACTTAAAAAATTGTATGCTAATAGTAAGAAAAAAAAGGAGGGAGGTCTCATACAATAATTTCCTTCACTTTTATAAGAAAATCACTGTTACAATTAGGCATTTTTCTCTACACTCAATCTGTACAAAATCGACTTTATTTCTGACGTTGTATTGTCACTGTCATGGAAGTGTTTGCATTCTCCGTCATTCTATAAGTGTCTTATGGACACATACAATGTCTCTCTCATTCCTTGTTTACTTAAATTTTTTTTTGCAAATCTAATATTTGGATATGGTTAACAAAAATTAGTACAAAAGTATATACAATACAAAACAACTTTTCTTTTCACTCCAGAATGACTGTCCTTTCGCCAGGAGCAACTACCATTGGTTTCTGTGTGCATGTTCTTCAAGAAATGTTCTGTGCATATACAAATGTTTAGAACATGGTGGTATGTTACATAACCTTTCCTGAACTTTGTTTATTTTCCTTTAACGGTATTCTTTGCCTAGCTTTTCACTTAAGCCTATGATCTATGGATATGACATATTTAACATATTTCTTATAAACAAACATTTGGATGGTTTCCAGTTGCTTTTTTTTTTTTTACAAGCAAGCCCTCAATAAACATACTAATTACTGGATATTAAATTTCTAAAATAGAATTTCTAGGTTAAAAAAGGATATAACTTATATTTTTAAAGATATTTCTGAATCTCATTAAATTTTACTTCCATCAACAGTGTGTAATAGTCTCTTTCCCCATGACTGACAATGCTGTGTATTACCATACATGATGACCTTTTCCAATCATGTAAGTGAAACATGACATCCTATCTAAATTTGTATGTTTTTTTAAAATGATGAATGAATTTGAGCATTTAAAAACATGTGTTTACACTATTTGTATTTTATAAGGTATTTTGCAGAGTAATTGTTCGTTTTAGAAAATATTACAAGTGTAGAATGCGAGGTGTATTCTTTTCTTTCAGAGTATAAAGTTCAATGCATCTTCTTATTAAGTTCTTCAAGTCCTTTCTATCCTCTTCTGTTTTGATCTGAACGTCTACTTGGTCTGTCATGAACTGGCTTTATGAGTTAAAGCCTCTTACTATTATTGTGCTTATCCTTTTTTCTTGTACTTCTTATTATTTTGAATTATAAATTCTGATGTTATATTTATTTTGATAAATAGCTTATTGAACCACTCATTGATATAAGTTGTCTTTCTTGTCTTATTTAATGTTATCTACCTGAGTTTAGCGGTATGATATTAACATCAAAATTCCTGATTTTCGTAATATTTTCCTGGTATATTTTACTCATACCTTCACTTGTAACATTTCAAACACTTTCTTGTTTATATGTACTTTGTATATCCAACGTAGTGGTTTTATTTTTTATCTGTATGTTGTTTACATTATCTGTATATTATGTATACTGACATTTTAATGTTTATACTATTTATATTTATTTGTATGTGACATATGTATTTGATCATTTTTCTGCCATTTTGTTTTATGTCTTCTGTCTTCAATACTTTTCAGATTTTAATATTTTGCTCTGTAGATGTGTTTTGTTTACTTTTGTGTGTCCATGCTTTTTCTGTCAATTTAGAAATTTGTTTTTTTCTCAGTGGATTTATAACTTGATGTAATTTACCTAAGTCTTTATTCCTTTATCAACTTTAGGTAGCATCTATAAAAATATAGATTTCTACTATAAAAATGAAGAATTAATAAACTATCTCACATTTCCCACTGAGATGAGGAATTCACCGAGCTGTACCATTGGAATTTTGGTGGTTATATTATTATTTGTAGTTATTCTCAACTGTATCTTCAACTATATCATCTTCTCTTTCATGAGCTACCCCCTTGAGACAATATTTTATAACACCCCATGAAAGATATATCAACCAATATGTTTAAGATTGTTACATCTCACCTTTTCCTTCTCATTCCATCAATCTGTTTTATTGCTGTTGTTGTTTACTTTTTTCATGTCAGACGGGTAATGTGCCGAAGTCATAACAAGGTTTGAGGGTGGGTCATCTCACACATGAGTGTGAACACCTAATCATCAAACTTACAGACTACAAAAAGGTTTTGTTGTTGTTGATTTTGAGACAAGGTCTCCCTCTGTTGCTCAGACTGAAGTACAGTGCCGCAATCATAGTCCACTGTAGCCTCAACATTCCGGGGCTCAAGCGATTCTCCCATCTCAGCCTTCAGAGTAGCACTCTCCCACCTTATGCCCCCATTAATTTCTTATGCTCATAGGCACCAGCAAAAGGCTTTGTAGGAGATTTTGCCTTAGGTATATTTGACTCTCTAATAAGAGAATCTCTCCTTATTCTGGAAACAGAGGATGGAGTGGGGAGAGAGAACAAAAATAACATAAGAAAGAGAAAGAAACACATGAAAAAGAAATTTAAAAACCTTTTTAATAAATGCATTGTGTACATGTTGATGTAGATTACCAGGCATTAAATATTTCCTGCTTAATCTTATATCAACCTCTGAAATTTCAAATAAGAAAAGTAGATCTTTGTTCAATATGTGGAATGGAAATCTACTAACAACTTGCTCTTCTTTTCCTTTCTTCCTCTCTTCTCCTCTCCTTTTTTGTATTCTTTTTTCAACTTGCTCTTTTCTTTTCTTCCTGTTTTCTCCTCTCTTTCCTTCCCTTCCCTTCCCTCTCCCCTCCCCTCCCCTCCCCTCCCTTCTCCTCTCCTCTCTCTCCTCTCCTCTCCTCTTTCCTTTTCTTTTCATTTCTTTTTCTTTTTTGAGATGGAGTTTCACTCTTGTAACCCAGGCTGGAGTGCAATGGCAGAATCTCTGCTCACTGCAATATCTGCCCCCCAGGTTCCAGCGATTCTCCTGCCTCATCCTCCCGAGTAGCTGGGATTACAGGTGCCCACCACTATGCCTGGCTAATTATTATATTTTTAATAGAGACAGGGTTTCACCATGTTGGCCGGCTGGTTTTGAACTAATCCCCCTACCTTGGCCTCCCAAAGTACTGGGATTACAGGCATGAGACACTGTGCCCGGCCTGATTTTTTCTTTTAATGTGAAAACATTTACAGATAGATTGGCACTAAATCTTTCAGTTGATAATTTAGCTACAAGCATCAGATGCTTTAGACTTTTGTGTGTCCTTTGAGCCATAAATGCCACTTTTAAACATTTTTCCTAAGGAGATAAAGTTAAACAAATGTGTATTATAGTAATATCTTATTAATACTGAAAAATTAGAAACAACATAAATATCCAAAGAGAAGTCACTAAATAAATTATATGGTGAATATATAGAAGAGACTAATCAAAGCTATTACAAATATAGAAGAATATTTAATGATAAAGAAAAATGTTCAATGAAAAAGATTTCAAGACAGAACACAAAATTTGTGTGTTCAACACAAAAAAACTTTGTGTTGCTTGTTAAAAGAGAACAAAATGTTATTTGTGTTGTGTCTGCAAGGCAATTTTATTTTCCTTTATCTGGATTAAAATAATTCACAATGCGCATGTACTGAATTGGTAAATAAAAATAATTATAAATAGTCATTGAAAAAAATAACAAGATGAATGCAATTGGGTTTATAACATATTCTAAGCACAGGTAAATAATTTTCTTGATGTTTTAACTAGATTATCACCCACGACAAATGTTTGCCAGTTTTACAATTGCTTTGACAGTACAGACTATCCCCTGATGGTTTTAACTTAAAGATTTAAACTTAAGATTTCTGATGGTTTAACTTAAGATTTTTCAGCTTTTACGATGGTGCGAAAGCAATACACATTCAGTAGTGACTGTACCTTGAGTTCTAATACAACCATTCTGTTTTTCACTTTCAGTATAATATTCAATAAATTACATGAGATAATCAATATTTTATTGTAAAATCAACTTTGTGTTAGATGACTTTGCCCAACTCTAGGCTAATGTAAGTGTCCTGACCACATTTAAGGTAGGCAAGGCTATGCTATGATGTTTGGTAGGTTAGATGTACTAAATGCATTTTTAACTTTTTGTGCTATTTTTAGCTTACTATTGGTTTATCAGGCTATAACTCCATCAGAATTTGGGGAGCATCTATATGTGCTCTAAATCATGAGTCCTATGAAGTGTCATCAATCATAATGTTATGGGGATACAGAATCACTTTTATATAAGCTTTTGGAAGCTGTTACCTCTCTCTCAATGACCTAAGGTTCCATGTCCATTCTTGACCCTGTAATTACCTTCTTGAGAGTTTAATCAAAATCTTTGTCAAGTCCATAAAATGAATATCCCTGAGACACTTTTAGAGAACTTCCATTGAAGCCTACTGGGTTATTTCCCTGATGATGAGAATAGTTTAGTAGGTTTAAAGATAAATGTTAGCTTTTATATTCCCAATGATGTCAATAAGACCACTGTTGCACATCTGAATTTTGACGCTTGCTACTAAAAAAGTAAGTATTGGAAACTTTGTAGTTGATTGCCATTCATTAAAAATTTTCAAGTATCACAATGGCAAACATCTAAGAAACTTCAAATTCAAGCATTTCTATGCAATGCATTCCACTTTAGACATACATCCTTATAGCTAAGCCAAAATCAAACTGTGCTCTTGGTATGAGGGCTAAGGCTCAAGCCAAACTGCTCTTTGCCTCTCTGAGTATTCTCTAACCTGGACATCCCCACAGATGAATCTCTGCTGGGTCAGAAATTGCCCACCAGATGTCCAAGGGATTCCTTTGAAAATTGTTATTAATCTGTACTGTTTCTCCTCTGATTGGACATAAGTCTATGACAGGAGCTTAAGTTCTTCATACTAGCCTTGAAGGATGTCTACTTCTTCCTGAGTTTGTACTGAGGTGAAATTCCACTTTTTTGCATAACCCTTTTGGTTCCTGAGTGAATCTTTGATGTAGGAGAATTCAAAGCCCTGCAATGGAGCGCCAAGTTATCATGAGATTGGACTTTCCGCATTTCATATTTGCTGTTTCACAAAAACTTTAGGATGCTAAGGAAAAACAAATAGCAAATCCTTGGGGCATTATATCTGTGTGGACATGATAATAAATTACATTCTAATGTAAGCTTTTAGCTGTGGATTAACTGGAACAAAGCTTAGCCCCATCTCATTGATGTGTGGAAGGGTGGTGAAAGAATCTTCAGCTTTCAAAAGTGATAAATGACCATACCCTGTTTTAATTTAAGCCATGGAAATACATTTTTTCAAAAACTCAGTATCGATTACATATGATTCTGAATCTGTGCAAAACATTCTTTGATAGCAGAAGCAAAGATGATAGTATGTATTGAAAAGTAATGAGACCATTGAACAAGGTATCTGAAAATAATTGCAGAGAAATAAAAAGTTAACGGAGGTATCCAACCCTTGTTTATCGTGGGTTTGTCTTACTAATTTAAGCAACTATTTTGATGCCTTGATCAGAGATAAATGAAATCACTTATTGCTTAAAATAGAAGTGATTTATTGCCCAGCAGTGTTTTGACATAAAAGGATTCAGCCATTATTCCATGTGTTTGGATAAGAAGAACAAGAAAAGAAATTGTGCAGTTTATAGGCATTTTAGACTCTTCCAAGAAAATAAAGCAGCAGTGTGATTTAAGCAGCATAAGAACATTTACCTACATTTATTTTAATGATAATTTTCATAAATATTGTGAACCTTATTCTTAGGCTACATAATTTGCATTTTACTGTTTTAGAACTTTTATTGTATTCTGAGACCAGCAGGTACTGAAGACAGATGGAAAGCATTAACATTTTTCTCTTGGCTTTGCCATCATACCTTAGGAAAAATGGTTGCTGTATAAAAGGAAGATAATTCACTTTAGACTGGAAGCTCCCAAAGCATAAAGATTTTTTTACATACAATATTTCATATTGCACCACATATATATATATATAAATCATTACATGAAATAATAAAAATTAAACTTTTCAATATGCAAATTTCTTCTATTATTAAAAGAAAAGGAATGGCTGAAATGTTAATCATTACAAATTCCCAGTGATACAAAGTGAGTCCTTTTAATTCTGGTGTTGAACTAAAGAGCAAGGACTTTTTGCATAATCAAGAAGAAAGTGTGAATCCAACATTTATTCTGCAAGGCAATTTCACATCTATAATTTTAGGAAGCCATAAAAGTCATTAGACATAGAAGTTCTATTTCAGGCTTCCAGTTTCTGGTCTGGCACATAAGGAGCTTATAAATCACCATTCCATCCTTAAAAGGATAAAAAGCTAAACAAACTGAAAAACAGCGACTCTTCTCGGATCTATCAGAGAAGTGAGGCCACAGGGAAAACCACTACTCCCGAAACTGGAGAGACAGACAGGGGGATACAGAGAATCGTGATTTACTGAAGCAGAAAAACCAGGAATAGAAACCTCCACAGGAAATGGTGTCAAGGTAGGAAAGCCTAAATTGCAATTGACAAATTAGCAGCTCAGTGTGGACAAGTTTGAGAGCTGGACGCCCCAGGGGGGGCACAGTCATGGGGATCCCTCAGTGCTTCTGAGAGTTTTACCTTCAGGAGCTGGACCTGGTCTTTACAGTGAATATTACAGGAAAAAAATCCACTCTTGTTCCAGGAGGGAAAGGAGGAAAAAAAGGCCATTTTGAAATCTTCCAAAGCATTCTGTTCCACTTTACAGAACAGAATGCTTTTCTGTCCTGCCTACAGGACAAACTATTTTACCAGAGCCTGAGTTGCTGGGGTTTTATCAACAGCTAAGCTGATCTGGGGAAAGGAACATATCCAACTCCAGCCCCCTGTAGCCATCCTGTCTCACCTAAGAGGGGTAGGTGTACTAAGTAGCGCCTGTGAAGTTCACAGCTCAAGGGTACAGGCTTACCAAAAGACTGCAGCTAATAAATACTAGGACTATAGAACGCTTCCCCTCCCCCCACAGCTTACTACTACTTTACCAAAGGCTTGTTTATTACATTTTCTTTTACCCAGTACATCATGCACACCTTTCAGTAAAAAATTACAAGACATTCTAAAAGGAAAAATACAGTTTGAAAAGAGTGAACAGGGATCAGAGCCAGAGTCAAATATGTAAGGAATGTTCG